CAGTGCAGGCTTTGAACATGTTATTTGATCCTTATGACAATCCTGTATGGGAAAGATTACTATCATTCATTTTGCAGATAATGAAATTGAGGAACAGGAAGATACATAATCTGCTTCGGGTCCCACAGTAGTAATAGAAAGCATGCGAATTTTACTTTAAGCATTCCTGGGTTCATGCTCATAACCATTAACCTCCCGTATCCTGATTTAGGATACTCACCAACCACACAGAATTATGCAGGTAAGTAACCAGGATCTCCTCCTAGAGTACTTTGTACCCCAGAGATGGTATTCTTAGTAGCAGAAGTTCTCATTTTGACCCACAGAAATATCTTTTCAAAATGTTAGGCATATGGGTATTTGGCCTACATGTATGTATGTGCACCTTGTGTGTGCTCATGCCAAAGGAAGCCAGAAGAGCATGTCAAATCTCTTGGAATTGAGCTACAGAATTTTGTGACCCACCACATGGGTGAGGGATTAGAAACCAATCCTCTGAAAGAGCAGCCAGTGTCCTTAACCACCAAGCCATCTTTCCAGCCCCCATAACATTACTTTTTATAGGGATCCTACTATGTGTCAGACATTGAGCTACGTAGGTGCTTTTAAATTCATACAATCTCATCTTCTCAGATCCTTCCCATCAAAGCTCAGGGAACCCCATGAAAGAAGAGGCGGAAAGAGTATAAGATGGGGCAAAGGGCACCAAAAGAACAGGAACCTCTAAATCAACATCATCAGTGAAGGGTACTAGCCCACTCATGTGGCTCTGGCAGGCTTTGCCTTTCTCTCCCATTCCCTCTACCTTCCTAAAACCCATTAAACTACATTCCTAAAGCTAGCCACCGAAGTCTGTTCCCTTATTTGGCCACTTCTTCCTCCTGAGGCTGACTACCAATGTCCAGCAATCAGAAGGCCCTTTGGCTCACCTAATTAACGTTTCCAATTAAAATTAAACACCTCATCCTAACACAGAGTTTACAAACTGCATTTGTCTGTGTGCCACATCTGTCTCCTCTATCCAGAGGTAGTCCTTTGTACCTCTGGGACAAATGCCCCTTCCCTTTCTTCCTCATCTCCTATTTCCTTTGCCACTGCACCCCAGCCCATTCTAACAGAGACCTCCCCTTCTTCTCCTCTTAAAAATTACACCTGCAAGGTCATCTGCTGCTCTTTTGCTGCCTGAGCCAGAAAGCAGCCACTTTAACTTTTCTTCCACACCTAATAAAGGATCTCACTGTGAAAGCAGGTTGTAGTCTGTGCCTAATCCGGAGCCTGGGAGGAAGCTCCCACAGTTCAGGAGGGGGTCTCTTTCAAACAAAGCTCCTGCGAACTCACAGAGACTGAAGAAGAGGCATAGGGCCCACACAGACCTGCACCAGGCCCCATGTGCTCATATTAAAGCTTCCAGTTTAGTGTTTTTGTGCGATTCCTGAGTGTGTGGATGAGTGGGTCTCATAATTGTGCCTTCTCTTGGGTTCTTTTACTTCTGTTAATTTATCTTGTCCAACTCTGATGTAATAATTTTATCTTATCTTTTAAAAATTAAGGAATAAAAACATATATCTCAATAAAAATGATTAAAAAAAATAAACAAACTTCTGGGGATTAAAAAAATGAAGTAATGAACAAACGAAAACTTACCAACTAGAGTAAACTACAGAACTGTCATTTATACCTGCTGGGACCGGGGAGATCAGGTTTCTCTAATGGAGAGACACTGGGTATATCAATCACTTCAGGGTAGATCCCATTCTCAAGAGTAGTTGACCAAGATATAATGGACACCACAGGTTTTTTGTGTATTTAGTTTTGGTTTTGGCCCTTTTTTTTCTTTATGGGTGCTGTTTTATTGTTTTCTTGTTTTTTGGAGTGTATTGGGTTCCTGTTTGGTTTTTTGAGAAAGAACTTAAAGTTGGATGGGAGGGAGATGGTATGGACAGACTTGGGAGAGGGGAAGAATATGATCACAATGTATTTAAATTTAAAAATTACATACATTAAAGAAATACCCAAATAGCCAATGGGAACATAGGTAAAGTCTGTACAAGGTTAAATGATGTTAACCTCTAGACAACATTTCGTTCATCCACCCTCAATAAATACCCCCCACCAAGTCTCCCAAATGGACTCCTCTGTCCTACCAGCACAGCTTCCTGATCAGATAGATGTCCCTGAGATCCCCTTTGATCTGTCCTGTCACCTGGTTACCCTGTCCTCTTAGGAGACAAGCCCCGCCCACTCTCCCCTTCCTCTGAGGCAAGTGGATCTTCTGCCTCTTCCTCCAGCCAGAGCTTTCTCTAGCTTCCCATCCCTCCTCTGAAGAGATGGCTGCTGCCTCTCTCTCTCTCTCCCTCTCCCTCTTCCCATTCCCTTCTATAACCCACTAAATAAACTCTATACCCAAACTCTCTCTGCATGGCATTTCTGTTTGTCTCTCACCTACCTCGGTCTCCCACCTGCCAAGGGGACCTGTCACGGCCTTGGGTCACCCACCAACCCCCCCCCACAGGCCTCTGGTCCACCATGGTCTCCCACCTGCTGCTGCCAGGCTTGAGACACCCACTGCTTTAGAGAATAACACCCTTCTTTGACTGAAGTCAGTGCTTTCTGATCCCCTACTGTAGCCCTGGATCCAATACTCTATGTGGGCACTGAAAAGATCACCCAAATTTTTTCACTCCTCGCATCCTTTGCTCCAAGATCTTCGTAATTCATTGACTTCATAGGATCAGGAAAGACAGGGATAACAACATAGTGTACATTTGAGTGCCAAGTATTTCAACATTTCATTATCATAATAATAAAATGTTCAGAATTGGGACTGGAGAGATGGCTCAGTGGTTAAGAGCACTGGCTGTTCTTCCAGAGAACCTGGGTTCAATTCCCAACACCCACATGGCAGCTCACAACTGTAACTCCAGTTCTAGGGCATCTGACACCATCATATAGACATACATGCAGGCAAAACACCAATGCACATAAAAATGAAAATAAAGTTTTAAAAAATGTTCAGAACCATTAAAACAGTATAGAAGATAAACTGTTAAGTAAGATGTTAGCACAACTATTTTCTTCTGGAGCAGTATCATCAATTTGGGGGAGGCCAGATTTTGAAGACAAATGTAGAAAGACTCACCCCCCCCCATGAAGGCACAATGTTTTTATTACCTAGAAAATAATTTAGAATCATGAACACCAATAATATTGCATCAGGCTGTTTCAATGCATTCTATTGTGGTGATTTGAAAGAAAATGGTCCCCAAAGGAATTGGCATTATTATTAGAAGGTTTGACCTTTTTGGAGTAGGTGTTGGAGGAAGTGTGTCACTATGGGGGCAGGCTTTGAGGTCTCAGTGTGACAACCAGTAAGTCTCCTGCTCCTGCAAGATATAAGACACTCAGCTATTTCTCCAGCACCATGCCTGCCTGTATGTGGCCATGCTCCCCGCCATGATTGATTGAGCATCTGAACTGTAAGCAAGCCACCACAATTAAATGCTTTCATTATAAGAGTCGCCATGGTCATGGTGTCTCTTCACAACAATAAAAACCCTAACTAAGACATCTATTATCTTCAAATCACTGAGATCTTTCAAAAGTTCTCCAAATACTTATATATTACAAAAAATTTTTAATGAGAAGTAAGCATTTATTTCCATGTTTCTTGAATTAAGCTGGGTGAGTATTTTTATAACTTCTACACTTACTTTCATTTTTGACATGCAATAAGTGGTATGAAATACTCGTTCTTTTAATGCTATTTTAACTATTGACATCTAATGGATACAAACAGAATGTGAGGTGACTTTCTTCCACACTAGCTCTGAGATATGATAAATGCTATTTCCTTCTGAACATGAAGTTAATATCAAACCTGTTCAAAAGCATCAGATCACACCTAGGGGAAAATGTGAGTAGAAAGTGTTCAATTTAATCAGCACAAGTAACACCTTCTTGATGACTGAAATAAAGAAACTTTTAAATTAAGGCTTCATCTCACATGTAAAGGGTCTTATAAAATTCTGATAGTCAATCACAAAGCTAGCACTATTTACAGATAGGCCAAATGCCAAACCACAGGTTTAACAAAAATCTAGACCTATGAGCCATAGTTATGAAAAGTATTTCAAGACTACTGTTTAAAGGAAGGTCCAGTGCTTGAGCTAGAGAGATGGCTCAGGGGTTAAGAACACTAAGCTTCTCTTCTAGACAACCTGGGTTTGATTCTCAACACCCACATTGAGTGGCTCATAACCATCTGTAACTCCAGTTCTAGGAGATACAATGCCCTCTTCTGGTCTCTGTGGCCAGACACACATGCAGATGAAACACCCATGCACATAAAATACATATATTTTTAAAAAACAAGAAATTTCAGTGAATTGTGAAAGCAGGGCTTTTCTGGGAAGGAGAAAAGGTCTTCTGAACTATTTATTGGAACAGAAATAGCAGTAGTCATCATTAGAAAGGGCTGTAATGAAAAATATGGATCTCAAAACACTAGAATAAAAAAGAATTATTACCATTCCTCATCAGTAACTTACTGCCAATATACGGTCCAATGTACGATAAATTACAGAGTCATACATACATGCACTTAATTTGCCAAACCAGTCATAAAGTTTAATGAAGTTAACTCTCAACAGGCAGATTTATGTCCATCCATTTAATATGGATGAAGAAAATAAAAAATATTTAGCAACAAATGTGACGCATTCACCATTAGAACACATCCACTAATTGTAAGACACTCAATTTGGTGAATTATTTCCATTTGCTTTACGATGTCCACTCAGCTCTCTGACACTTCCTGTATTTGGAATCTGCACTAAATCTTGAGATAGGCCTGGCAAACTCAGGCTCATATATAGCCAAGGAATTAATCAAAAGTTGGTACTTTCTGGCACCACCAGGTTTAATTGCTTGGACTTGGGTTAGTTAATAGGCACAAGGCCAGTAAAACCTGCCAAGAAAAATACAGTAAATTTAGCACTTACTGCCTTGAGGTCTTCATTAACATGAGTATCATTCATTATAAATTCTGGATAGCCAACTTTTGCCAAAACAGCTCTTGCCTATAAAAAGAAAAATGAGAGATATGATGTCAGAGTTTCCTCACTTAAATCATCAATAATCACTGATTATAGGGGTTCAGACTTCATCTGAAAACTCCATTGACTGAATGTCTTCTATATGCAAGGCACTGTAAATGATAAAACAAAAGACTTACCACCCATCCACAATGCGCTGCAAATGCAGCGAGTATAGCATAGACAATAAAAGATCGTGAGCATAGCTGACAAACGCGAATGTCTGAAATACATTTTCAAAATCTATAGCAAGAAAACAAGTTCTTTAAAGAACCTGAGCTGGGTGGTGGTGGCGCACGGGAGGCAGGGGCAGGAGGATCTCTGTGAGTTCGAGGCCAGCCTGGTCTACAGAGCAAGTTCCAGGACAGGCTCTAAAGCTACAGAGAACCCCTGTCTCAATTCCCCCTAAAAAGAACCTAAAATTTTGTTTCTCATATATACATGTGCAGCAGGTATGTAAAAGGGAATATTTCAATATCACTAATCATAAGGGAAATGCAAATTGAAACCACAATGAAATATTATTCCAATGTGGTTAGCTGGCAATTATAAAGAAGAGTTAGTAGGGATCTGAAGAACTAAAGAATACTTACCTGCCACTGTGGAAAACAGACTGCTCAAAAACTAAAACCAGTATTACTGTGAGATCCAGCAATTCCTCTACTGGGTGAAGCCATAGATAATAGGTACCCTTCTCTCCAAATGAAATCAGTATAACAAAGAGCCATCTGGACTCCCATGATCATAGCAGCACTATGTGTAGCAACCAAGAAACAAAGATGACCTACTGACTGATGTGTGTAGACAAAGCGTATTGTAGGTAAACACATACAACAATGGGATAATATTCAGCTACAACAGGGTGATAAAATCGGGGATCATTGTGGTAACTGAGATAACCTAGACCCAGAAAGACAAGAACCACGGAAAGAATAGAGGAGCACATGGTAAAACGGAGCTGTGAAATGACCTGGGGCTGCAATGCTCAGAAGCCCACATTGATCCACGAGGTCAGTTGAGTGTGTCGATTTTTCATGTTTTCACCACCCAAAGTGATAAATACATAAGGTATTGTATATGCCGATGAATTTCTATTAGGCATTTTACAATGTATACTGATGTCAAAACATCCTGGTGTAATTCATGAATATGTACAAAGTGATCCTATAATACATTAATATGAAAAACAGGTAGATAGGAAATTCATGGATTATTCATGGAAACTCCCACTGCCATGCTAACAAGTCTTTTTATTGTTGTTGTGGTTTTTCAGAAAAGTGAGGGTTAAATATTTCCAAGGGGAGTGAAAAGAGATGAGTCATGCATCAGGATGATGATCCTTGCAGCTCTGTGAGTGATGGCCAGAACACCAGAAAGATCAGAGGCAGGAGGTCCAGAATAATTTAAGACACATCACATCATAGTCATCTGCTTGATTGACAGAGGTACTAATGATGACCTTCTTTGTTTTGCAGCATGCAGGGAATAGATAAAGGGAAAATCAGTGTGAGCGCCAGTCTAGAGCAACAACTGGCAAACTGTGGCCTAAGGACCAATTTCAGGCCGCTTCTACCTGTTTTCATAAAGGAAATTATGCTGGAACACAGCCATACTCATTCATTTACCTATTATCTATAACTGCATCTGTGCTGCAGCTTCTGAGCTGAGTCACTGAAACAAAAACCCTGGGGCCCACAAAGTCGCAAATATTTGAGCTAGGCCTTTGGAAGAAAGCTTGCCAGCCCTTGTTCTAGAGACAATTTGCAGCTTCCTGTGAAGCCCTCCCCACCATGTTATTCAGTTTCAGAAGCTAATTCTCCTTCTCCCAGCAGTCATTAGTTACTATAGATCTTTGTCTAGGGGCGGAACAATTCTTTTCCCTTCCACATTAACATGTCCATTGATAATACCATAGTTCCGGTCTTGTTCCTACAGCCATTTCTAGAGTCTTATCTTCTCTAATTGCCAGCACCAGAAAATCTGAAGGCCCATGTATAATCACAGCTCATTCTGGGCTGTTGATCTCCCTTCTGTCATTTGGAGCGCTCCCTCCTTACAGGCAACTCTCAGACAATGATTGACTGTGGCGGGATCATGAGAGCCCAGCATCTTCACTTCAGTTCAGAACAAGCTCAAAGGTATAATTTACACTAGCAGGTTGCTCACAGGATCAGACTGCTTCCACACTGGCTTCTGAAATCACATTCTCCCCTCAGCTCTTTCCTATCTTGGTCTAGTTTCTCCCATTCTGCTGCTGTTTTCGCCTGCAAATATTTGCTAAATGAATCATGTAAATGTGAATCTGTATTTCCAGGTCTACCTTCGGATGAGCCAACAAAAGACCCAGCCAGCTGATGTAGGAGGGTCATCTGTCTATGTGTTACTTTCATTGGTTAATAAAGAAACTGCCTTGGCCTTTGATAGGACAGCAGCTTAGATAGGCAGAGTAGACAGAACATAATGTTGGGAAGAAGGGAAGTGAGTCAGAAGCCATGACTCTCCGACCTGAGACAGATGTAGGCTAGAATCTTTCCCGGTAAGCCACCATCTCGTGGTGCTACACAGATTATTAGATATGGGTTAGTCAAAATGTGAGAGTTAGCCAAGAAGAAGCTGAAACTAATGGGCCAGGCAGTGTTTAAATGAATGCAGTTTCCATGTAATTATTTTGGGTAAAGCTAGCCGGTGGCCGGGAGCTGGGTGGTGGGAAGTGGCCGGCAGCTCCTTCTACAGGTAGCCCTGACCCATTAGCGGTATCCCAGCAAAGCCTCAATGCAAAACCACTGACCTCCCATGCTAATGGCATTTCTTCTCTCGTCCCTTCCAAATGACCGCATTCAAGAAATAAATAAAGTGAGATAGTATGTCTCCCTTATCATTTTTTAGATAGAAGAAATATTAAATATCATCAGAAACTTCCAACTCAAGATTTAGGATTTTAGAAGTGCCGCAGGACACAGCTCTAATGGGTTTTGCTGTGCCAGGGACTAGCATAGAGAACAGATCAAATTCTGCCTTCAAAAGCCTGCGAACTACACTAAAAGCTTAATATGATAACAGGACATCACAATTCTCCCAAGACCACAAAACAATATGTCACATGTCTATAGGCTTCCTCTTTCTGAAACTACTTCCTTTCCTAGTTGTAGCTAATTTCTCAGTATAACTTAGTGGCTCGTCACAAGTCACATGCATCATTTTAACAAAGAACTGTAGGTGGTTCTTTTCAGCACAAACACACACCCAAAAATCTACACGATGAGCTGAGTCATGCACAACTGTTTGCAGAACACTGGCTTTCCCAATGTGCACCAGTGAATTCTGCACTCTTTTTCCAGACTGCACACTCTGGGAGCTCACTGAACTACAGTTTCACAGCATACATTAGCTCCTGTACTGTATATGTATAGTACTGAATCCTTTCTTGTTTATTAAGCATCACCACAACTTGAAGAAAATCAGAAGCAAAATGCAAGGAATCTAGATTTCCCTACCAGGGACACACAAATAAAATCAGGTAATGATTCTAATAGCAGATCTGTAGAATGTTCTTTTTTGCCAAAAATGTATACGAACTTTTGTATTCTGGGTCTTATATTCCTTCTTCCAGAGTTTGTGGCTAAGTCCCTACCATCCCAACCCATCCCATTTTTCCCTGAGAAGCTTCAGAACTGCATTGTGAAAACCCTACTGGGCATGACTTTAAATCAGACTGTCAACAAGAAATACTCATAAGGCCTTAGAAAGCTGAAGAGATGGAGATATCATCTATTCACTGAGGCAGCATTAGTGGGGCCCATGTCTATCTGTGGACAGTAGGTACAACATGCTGCCACCAACTTCCAAGCATTCTCCTGGGAAGACCCTGTACAGAACACTGTAGAGGCAACAGTGGCCACTGGCAGACTTGGCCTTTACTTCTAGCCCTGCAATGGCTTCATAACCCTCTAATCACTCATGTTAAACATTTTTCCTGTTTGATGCACTTAGAAGTGTGTCTGCATTCCTGCATACAGACTAAGGCAAATAGAGACACATCACTCCCCAGCATATTCAGGATGAGAGAAGTAACCCACCAAATAGTTGGTTGGTTTGTTGAAGGGAAAGGTATTAGCAAAGCACGTCTGAAATCAATTATCCCACTGGTTACAATGACAAGAGGAAAAAGCAAGTCACCATATAAACACTGAGGAAATAACGGGATGAATGCTTAACAGATGGCATATTAGATCCAGTGAGAAACAATTTGCGGGCTATTTGAGGCTGATAAAAAAAAAACTCAAGGGTTTTCTATAACTAGTTATTTCCATCCATTATTCCATGCACACATCTGGAGAGAAACTGCATTTGACAGCTGGTCGTCCCTCCCCTGTGGAAGAGACACAAGCCGATGATCGTCTTCACTACTTCTTTATCTGTAGACAACTATTTCTCTTCTTAACTCAAAACCGCCTAGTGTATAATACACATTGATCTATTCTACTGCCATTCTCTTATTATAGAGGCCAGTTCTGCTCAGGATGACAATAGAACAAACCAAAAATACATAGATTCTTGTACAGGTTCCTTAACAGATTTGGCTGCAGGAAAAGATTTGGGTCAATAGCGTATAGATTAAAATGTTTTATGCATTTCTGAGCATCTATTTTAAAAAAGAATAGACTCAGCAGGGACATGCTGCCTGCCTTTAGTCCAGAGCTTCCCAACTTCAGCAGTACTGACATCAGGGCAAAATAACTCTTATGAGAGTTTGTCCTCTAGGCTATTGGGAATTTAGCAGCATCATTGCCTTGAACAAACTAAATGCCAGTCCCAATCCCCACATAAGCTGTGACAACCAAAATTGTAGAGACATCAGATTCCTGTGCAGGAGGTGACAAAGCACCCTCAGTTAAGATTCTCTGGGGTGCTGAGCTTGCTTTCAAGCACACAGCAGCAAACCAGATAAAGAAATCTACATGTCAAACATGGCAGGATAAAAAGCA